TTTCATTAACAACATCTTCTTTGCATTCATCCTCAATGTAATCAGAATCAATATGATTAGGATCTTCATCCTCAACCTTAACACATTTAGATGAATAAGAGTTAGATGCGGAAGACTTGGTTATAGGCGGATTCATATCTCTGAGTATACTATGAATTTCTGCAGTAAACTCCTTAGATGAATTCTCGTTCGAGTTCTGATAAACAGCCAAGAGTCTAGAATGAACCGATTTATACAACCCCGATGAAGATTGTGAGTCACTTGAATTAGTACCTTTTTTCTTATCTGTAAAACAAGTATCAACATAAGAAGTCTCAACAGTATATACAAATAAATCATCTTGAATAATTTCCATCTGTCCAATAACAAAAAGAACTGATTCACTTGGACGAATAGAATTCATCAAATACTTGAACTGATTATTGTGAAATGGAAACACAACTTTAACCACAAAAGAATTATTCTGCCCAATGTAATCTTTAACTAACACCCTAATTATTGCATTCTCTTTATTGACTTCCTGTGCTGCATTCAGAATAATACCAACTAACGAAACCTTCAATAGACACCTATTCGAACCAGGATCTCTTCTGATAGCAAGATGTGTGGAAGAAGAGACAGTCATCTAGATGAAAAAAAAACCAAACGTTTAATCGTTATTTGCAATATAATACAAAAAAAAAAAAAAAAAACAACAAAAATTTACTTTTAATCGCATATTGCCATTGTAACTTCCAGGTATAACCTTCCCACCTACGCTGTAATACTCGTTCTTCACGAAAACAGACTGAGTATTAGGATCTCTCTCATAATCAATCATCGGAATAAATAAAACCATCTCCATTTCTCGATCTTCACTTTCAACGGGATAGGCACCAATCGCCCACACAACAGTTAACTTCGATTCTTCTTTATCAGATTGACGAACCTGACTAATTTTCACAATAGTATCTACGTAACAGGGCATAATGCAAAACAAAAATGTAAAAAGAGTATACTAACCGTCATTGATGAACCGTTTTACCATTTATATAATAAAATAATGGTGATAACATTTTTTATCATAATGACTATAATTCGCATCAAAGTAAGGTTTGATACAAAAAAATGACCGCCGAATTACAATTAACTTCCAAATAAGTAATGATCTCTATCGACAAT